ATCCTAAAGTTGCCCCACATAGACAGAAACGACGAGCTTTAAACACGGAAAGGTACGAGGCCTTAAAGGAAGATATACAGAAGTTAATCAACAATGGCTTCATCAGTAAGGCCCTCTATCCGAAGTGGATCTCCAATCCGGTCCTAGTGAAGAAACACGACGGAAAGTTGAGGGTGTGCATTGATTTTTCCGACCTTAACAGGGCATGCCCAAGACAGTTTCCTGCTCCCTAGAATTGATCAGTTGGTAGACTTTACCGCGGGACATGAGCCGCTAAGCTTCATGGATGCCTATTCTGGCTACAACCAAATTCCTATGTACCCAGGTGATGAGGAACACACTTCATTTATCACGGACCGAGGCCTCCACTGTTATAAAATGATGTCTTTTGGGCTAAAAAATGCTGGAGCTACTTATCAGAGGCTCGTTAATAGGATGTTTGCCGACCTGCTTGGTAACACTATGGAGGTCTACGTGGACGACATGCTCGTAAAAAACTTGAAGGTGAGTGATCACATAACTCATCTCAACGGAGCCTTCGAGATTTTGCAAAAGTATCGCATGAAGCTGAACCCTCTCAAGTGCGCATTTAGGGTTGCATCAGGCAAGTTTCTAGGGTATATGGTCAATCAACGAGGCATTGAGGCAAACCCTGAAAAGATACGGGCATTGATCAAAATGAAGTCCCCTCAGAAACTAAAGGAAGTGCAAAGCCTGACCGGCCGGGTGGCCGCTTTGAGTCGCTTCATATCGAAATCGACAAATAAATGCCTCCCCTTCTTTAAGGTGCTCAAAGAAGGCCAGAAATTTCAATGGACCGAGGAGTGTGAAGAGGCTTTCCAGGGGTTGAAAAAGCACCTGGGACAAGCCCCCCTCCTATCCAAACCCAAGCTTGGAGAGGTCCTACAACTATACTTGGATGTCTCTCTTGATGCCATAAGTGCTGTACTCGAAAGGGAAGAAGGTTTGACCCAACTGCCAGTCTACTACATCAGCAAGGCATTACTGCCTCCCGAGACGCGATATCCAGATATGGAAAAGTTGGCCTTGGCATTGATAATTGCATCTCTCAAGTTGAGGCCTTATTTTCAAGCTCACACAATCCATGTGTTGACAAATTTTCCTCTTAGGCAAGTATTGCAAAACCTGATGCTTCAGGTAGGCTATTGAAATGGGCAGTGAAATTAAGTGAATTTGAGGTTCTCTTCAAGGCTAGAACCGCTATCAAAGGCCAGGTCTTAGCGGATTTTGTGGCAGAATTCACCAATACCCCTGGAATGGACGAGGCTATGGAGCTCGTTAAGCCTTCTACATGGAACTTATTCGTAGACGGTTCGGTTGGGGAAACAGGCTCAGG